TCCAACTCATACTGGACATTATCTTCTATACCTATTATAAACAAAAACAAAAATTAAATTAGATATTTTGAAGCATAGGGCAATTATTCAATTTAGGTACCTTTTATTCCTAATTCCACTTTTAACTGACATACGTTTGCAATTGACTTGGTCCATTCTTTGAATGATGAACTATTAAGAGATATAGATTCATCGTTATCTACTTCATTTTCATTTTGAGGTGAAATATTGTCCTGCTGATTTATATCAATCAGTGGGTCGACAAAATCAATGACAGTAGCAGTTATGCGATTCTTGAGATAAATTTTTGATTCAGCACATGGCGTTAGCTCGCCGTTTTCATCTAGCCCATCAGTTTCGCTATATGCAATAGTAAAAATCGCCTCCAAGATAGTTTTAGCTTCAGTTAACTCGGTACATAGTACTAAAAGGCCCATTGCTCGTACATATAACTGTTTGGTTCGTATAAACTTCTTGTTCTTTAGACATGGCCATTGTGTTACGAGATGCATGAAATGGTTAACATCATTCCGTATATAACAAGATGGAATTTCTGTATAACGTTGTCCTTGTGTAAGTTTTAAACAAACATCTAAATACATCTCAAGTGAAGTATACTGCGTAAAACTTTGAACCAGAGCTGACATAAGAGCTAGAGATTGATCACTTATTACCACTTTAGGAGACCGAACACCACAGCGAAGCCACCGTTGAATCCACACTCTGATTGAAATATTGTCATGCTCTTCAGATAACATTGATAAGGCAGTAAATGTTTGATCATTAACTTTCATTACACCATCATACAAAAATATTGACCCACTATATGTATTATTTTGTCGTTTTAATTTTCTAACACAACTGCCAGTTGCATCGAAACACATAGTTGGTGTATCAATCTTAGAATAAGATTCTTTATACACTTTAAGTTGAAGATCACTCCAAAAATGAACAAAAAACTTATTAATACCAATGTTACGTATAGCAGAACCATATCCTCCATTTTCTTTCATTATACATAACGCTAACACTGGATCTGCGTGTAGCCTTTCAGCTGCGATCGCTCTGCTTTTAGCTTTTTGTAAGCTATTTAAATTAGGCACTTGTGCTGGAATTAAATCACCTATAATTACATAATATAATTTTTCATTGAATTTATTAAAACTGATTTTTTTTATTTAACTTTTATTGTTACACAATAAAGAATATTTTTATTTATTTTACATTTTTTATTCGACCAGTATTTTTTTATTCAATTGAGAATATTTTTTATACTATTGGAACTTTTTTGTCCTAATTAGACTTTTTATCGAACATATTTTTATCTAATTACAATAAAAAATTCCAAATAACATAAAAAATATTCTTAATTGTTTAATAACATAAGTTAAATAAAAAGTCCAAATTTAATAACAAAAGCCAAAATTAATAAAAATATCTGACTAGATCAAAAAAAAAAAAGTGAAGTCAAATAAAAAATGTCAAATTTACTAAAATTCCTAAATTAATAAAAAAATTAAAAATTATACCTACCTAAATTATAAACAATAATTTGTCTCTTTGAATGCAATATGATTGGGCCAATCATATTTTATGTATTTTATGTGGGTCACATTAATTACCAACTATTACCTAACTCAGAGGTTCCCAAACTTTTTCTACTCGTGGAGCCCCTTCTAGAACTGAAGTTTGCTCATGGCGCCCTTATATAATTATACACTGAAATATTAAATTTTAATTTTATTAGGTAAAGTCAATTAGACATAGTTTCAGGGCTTGAAACCGAAAAAAAATTTTCCGGTTTTGGTTTCGGTTTTTAACGGTGTAAACCGGTATTCAAAATCGGTATCGAAAATCGGTTTCAAGCCCTGAATAGTTTATTTGTAAACTACCATCAACTTTTGATTTTCGAATGGTAACCTATACTTAAAATTTCATAAATTGATAAGGCTATTTTTTTTATGAATTATCACGTTTAAATTTTCATTTTTCGTTAATCCGTTGATGAGATATTGTTCTTCAAAGTTGAGTTGTTTTAGGAGGTGGTTTTGTGTGTAAAATAAATGTGCTATACCACGTCAGTAGATACCGCAGTTATAAGGATTTTTATGCCCCAGGGAAAAAGATATTACATTTTAAAATCAATTCAAGTAGGTGCAGTAAGTTTGAGTTGTGCCCCTAAATGTATTGTATAATATCCATTTGGCTGGGTGTTCGCCGTTCGCCCCACGGAAGGTGATTTCGGCACTGGTCATTATAATTCTACCCTGAACATATCGAAGTATGGAAATTAATCAACATAGCTCACCTTCACTCATAAGACGATTTGCTTCATCTTTTCTATACACAGATGGAACCACTTTCATTTCTACCATCGACGATACAGCTCGATGTAATTCCGATCCCATCAATCGGCGCCTTTTTATATGTTTCTCTTTATAGTCACCATAGTATGTGCAGTTCATCACAACTCTAAATTATACAATCATTTTCATTTAGATACTTAAAAAAAAAAAAATTATAAAAATTTTACCTTGCATTAACAGCGGGTATATCTTCCACAACACCCTCAAATAATGAATGGCAATCTGTGCACCTACCACGTATATTTATAAACACTTTTCCCATGACTGTCACTTGTGCCTTTTTAAATGATATTGCACATGGCAATTTAGAATGTAAATAAAAATGTTCCTGAACAACATTGCTCCAAACATAAGGTGTTAATATATCATAATATCGTATGCCACGTTTTTCCTTGTATGCTTTTTTTTGCGGTTTTATAGCATTCCACTCTTCAACAGAAAACGTTATAGAGAATTTTAGTTCATTGTAACGTTCCTCGGATTCACTGGCTTCACTGCTATCATCCGTTTCAGAATGAAGACCGTCTAAGAATAAAATTAATTCATGTACGATTTTGAAATTCAATGTGTAACAACTATCGATAAACATTTAATTATTTTTAATAACTACTGTCGAAAACACGATAACCCTAATTTAAATCCAGAGAGAAAAGATTACAATTTATTTACTTAAATTACCTTCTATTTCATCTATTGTTATAGAACAGTTATCATTTTTGTGCGATGAACTAGAAGTTGACGGCTTCACACCCAATTTTTCCAATAATCCACCTCTATTGAGTGCCACACGCAGTCGCACAGATGCTGGCGTTACTTTACCTGTTTTACTGATGCCTTGAACCTGCTTAGCAATATTTTGCCACACAACATCAGTTGTACCAACAATTCCTATTATTGAAATTGATAATTTTATTATTAAGTTCCTATTATTGAAATTGATAATTGTATTATTAAGTAATATTAATCTGTAATTGTATTTAAGAAAAATGTATATTATAAATAAATATACAACCAGTTTTAGTTATATATGTCTAGTAGGTGCCTACTGATATAACATTGTGCAGTCAGCACATTCAAATGGTACATTTACGGTAATATTAAGGAAACTCACCACCACGAAAGTGATGTTAGCCCAAACAACTATGGTCCAATAAAATATCTATATTTAATAAAAAAAAAAGGTGCTCTGCTGTACAGTAGGTTACAAGTGGGTCACTGTATAATGGATGATATTAAGTTTGAATTCAATGATATATAATATCATTGTATAAGAAAAACGATTCTGAGCGGAGACGGTACGTCAGTCTAGGTATAAGACATATTATATACTTATTTATCGTATTAAAAAAAATTTACCTAAAATAGGTACCTATAATAAATTCCAAATTAATACAATGATTATTGATTTTCTATCATTGAATTCAAATTTAGCACATCCATTACAGTGACAAAATCTACAAATTACTATAATACAGTAGGTAGAGCAGATCTGACTTCCCCCGATAACTTTTTTTAATGGTTTCAAAAAAAATTGAACACTACAACCACAGAACTAAATAAAATGATATATAAATTATAATTACTTACCTCGACCACCGTCGGTTATGATATCATCTTTATGTAATAATATTGCGGCATCTAAATGTTTTGAATCGACATTTGGAGTTCTTCCAGCCATTTTAATGAATGATAATACGCAATCAGCAACAAACGTCTATGCTTGTTAATATTCGTAATGAATGACACACGTAAACTATATTATATTATGCAAGTGTGTGAGTGTAACAAAAACATCTGGCAATAACATGGGTTTTTCCCAAAAGTAAATAAACATGATAACAATTTAGATCTCCGCACGTCTCCATCAAATATGTCCGTTTGGTATTTATTCAAGCAACAACAATAAAATGAAATAAAATAGTTATTTTAAATATAGCTTTAAGCCGGATTCCCACAACTGGTGTAGGTACTTGCCAAATATTCGTCACTTGTGTATACTTGCCATGTAGTGGGAACGGTATACTTGTACAATTATTTGTCACTGGTACATTTCCCGAGGATTGTCGGTAAACGTGTCACAAGTCAAAGGAACGCCAATATACTTGACAAGTACACCAGCCATGGGAACACTCATGTTTTCACCATTCGCCTAGACCTGCAGGAATACGGTAGCATCTAGCGCATATGCAATGTGACATATCCAATATTGAAAACCTCCGATAGCGGACGTTTTCTTGTGAAGCAACTACAAACTTTTACAATTTAAACTCTCTGAATAGCGGACACTCCGAATAACGGACAACATTTCAGTGACTAGGAATGTCCGGAATTAGGGTTTCACTGTAGGTAAGTATATTATTCAGTGGTGCCGAACTCGGAATTTTTTTGTGAAGCGAAATCTAGAATTTTTACCCACCCACCCAAACTTTTCAGTCATCTAATATGATAAAAAATACACAATATTTTTTTTATTAAGATTATTTAATGAGTTTTTACATGATTACACACGGGTTATAAAATTATTATTATAAGATATTATAATTGCAAGACAATAGTAAAGCTAATTAGCTTTATAATTTATTTTGTTTATTACATAAAATACAATGTATTACTAATATATAAATAATTAAACAATTAAGTAAGCAGCTTAGCTAGAAATGAACTATTGGAAGCAAAGTATTTGATCACACATTCTGTGTCAATTTGTACATCTAATTCGCACGCCATTATCATAAGTGCTTCCAATCGATCTTCTGACATAGTACTTCTTAAACGGGTTTTCACTAATTTTAATTTTGAAAACGTTCGTTCAGGGGAAGCACTGGATACTGGTAGGGTAACAGCAATACTGAGTGCTGTGTACATGGTTGGAAATATATCTTTTAATCCTGATAAATGACAAACTTTAAAAATTGTATTAATAGTTCCACTATTATTTTTTTTACTATTTTTATCTATCTTATTATATTGAATATCATCATCATCATCATCATCATCACCGTCTGAATCACATTGTATCCAAGAATCTTTGTTGGTATCAGAAAATTTTTCTGGAAGAATCATTATTTTTTCAAAATCAAAGTAAGACTTGGAGAACTGAACATATTCTTGTTTTAAACTTTCATCATTAACAAATTTACCATATACCTCAGAAAACCCTTTAAAAGCATCTTTTGGTATAATATTGGTCTCGGCCACTTCTTTCAACCGTTTATGTGAAAATAGGCTTAAGTCTTTAAAAAATGGCATTGTTTCTTCATTGAACCTTTTAGTTATTTGAGTAGTGGTAATATCGAGAATTGTATAGAAAGTATTGACTTTAAAATTTTCCATTTGGTCAATAATACGTTGATCAGAAGAGACTTCGCCTGGCATTTTTTTAGTACGACGAATTCTATTAATAGGTAATGGTGCAAAAGAAAATTCATTATTTTTTGATTGTATAAAATCGTCTTTTTCTTGTATAAGATTTTTAAATTCATCATCACTTCTAAATGTTTTGATAGTATTAAGTGTTTGTTGAACATGGCTAATAGCAGCACATAAATCGATATCAACACTTTGCAGACATTTACTAAGAGTACTAGTTTTATCAAATATTTTTTTGAAAATAAGTGCTGTTAATAAAAATCGTTCTTGCAATAAGTAATCAAGTAAGCTTCCAGATTTAACACTTGAAACTCTATCTGTCATAGGGTCATCTTTAATATCGAATAATGTGTCAATAATAGCATCATAAGTATCAAGAACGGTTTGAAGAGAAAACGAATGAGATGACCATCGAGTGGTTTCAACTCTCTTGAGTCTTCGAAGTAATTTATTTGGATACCTTGTTTTCTGATTAGTACTATAAACATGTACACGCTTCTTACTACTTCCTATAAAATCATATAATGTTTCTAAATATCCAAATAAATCTCGAGCCTCTATACAACAGCCAACAGCATCAATAACAACTAGATTAAACCGATGAGCCCAACACCAAATATACACTGCACATGGATTTTCTTTTTTGACAAGAGATTGAAGTCCATTATAGGAACCTCTCATGGACGCGGCACCATCATACGATTGGCCAACAAGATTTGTTCTCCAATCTAAACTCATCTCTGAACAAATTGAATCTAACATTGTTAATAAATGTATTCCAGTAGTCTGGACAGTCTCACGTAGAGCAATAAGTCTTTCACAAACAGTGCCATCTTCTTTATTGATATAACGAATGACTAAAGATAGTTGTTCTTTCCGTGATACATCAAATGTCGTGTCTAATGAAATACTAAAAAATACAGCAGTTAAGATTTCTTTTTTAATAACATCACGTATATTTCTATAAATAGCTTCAATTAGTTGGTTCTGTCTCTGCCAAGATATAAAATTGTAAGTTTTTTTTCCTTTTAACTCAACACTTGTAACGTAAGAAGCTAGAGCAGGCGAATATTTTGCAAGAACTAAGACCAAATCTTTATAATTACCCCGAATGTTTTCTTGCCATCCTTCTCTATGACCTCGAAAAGGTAAAGAGTGTCTGCCAAGATACAATGTTAAATCAATTAAGTGTTTAACAATTTCTTTATTAAAAACAATATTAGTATTGGCGGATTCTTTCATAGACTGGATAAGAGGATATTCAGCTTGCCTATATGCTGCTTTTATCGAAGCCATAATATGAGCTTCTGATGTTTCATGTATTATTATACTAATGGTACCTTTGTTCCAGTTAGAAAATCCATATTTTGTCCAGTTTTGCTTATTATTTCTTGCGAATAATGCACAGTACAAACAATATATTTTATGATTTTTAATAGAATAAGATAGCCATTTTCTTTGTGATACTTCACCAGTAGACCGTTTATGCCAGTACCAGGATTCATGAAAAGATCTGCCATTATGGTCCTTGGGAAATTGTTTGCCAGGCAATTCATTAGGCAATGGTTGAGCAGCACCAATCTTCAAAAAATAGCTTATCAATCCTGGATCAATATTTTCAATTTGACTCAAAATTGCAGGATCGTTGCTAAGTTCGTTGAGTTCTTTATATACTAAAAACAAATGTAAATTAACTACTGTCTACTAATGTATGATATTAATTTTATATTAAATTATAATTATATTATATTTATATTAAATTATAATTATATTATATTTATATTAAATTATA